GTTTTTTGCTGTAAAATTTTATGTGATATGTTGTTGGGTGAAAAGGCTTTGTGAGTTAAATTTGTTTATTTTATAGTTAGAGAGCGAAGTGAAAAGCCCAAACTATTCCTGACACAGTCCTGGTGATCGGGGAGTCGTTTGTTTCCCTGGTAACCAGAAGGGAATCCAGGCTCTATAGCCTCGGGATACGTTTTTAAACTCCCTGGAAAACCCCAAGTTTGGCGACTGAGTGTTAGTGGCTTACCCTCCCAACTTCTTGTGGATGGATTTGTGCTGTGCTCCAGCTAGAGTTTGTGTGATTTTAGCAAGATCTTGTTAAAACTCTGGTTGAATGTGTTTGGGGTTGTGAAAAACCCCTGGCTGGTTTGGGTTTTTTGGTTCTTTTGTTTTTTGGGGGTTTTTTGTGAGCATAAACTATTACTGTTTAGAGTCAGATCTTCGCAGGGGAAAAAAATTTAAAAAAAAAAAAAAAAAAAAGAGAAAAATCCGGTTTTGCAGCAGTGATTTTGTGCAGAAAACAAGGCTGGCAGAGGTAGCTGAGAGACATTTTTGGTGCCAAGATATGCAGCTGAACTCCGTGTTCTGTAACAGTTTCGATCAAAGGGTGAGAGAAATTTGGTCAGCAATCCAAAAAGCTTCAGAACAGGCTATAGTAGTGATTCCCACAGCTCTCAGTGCAGCACGGAGTCGTGAAATTTCTGCTGAAACTCGACTGATACTTTGCAAGGTTCCCATTTGTCCTTTGGTTACAGTGTGACAAGAGATACACTTGGCTCTTAGCTGCACTCTCACTACAGTGTATGAAAAGTTTCTTACAATTTTTAAACATATTTTAATAGTAATATACCTGGAGCAAAGCATAACAGAGGATGAATAACCTGCAACTTGGGTGGAGTACTTAACGATCTAATGAAAGAGAGTTTTCACCCCCTTTTTCCTTTTGTATAACAAGTTTTTCCTTAACAGCTGCTGCTCTGAACCCTGTTTTAGAAGGAATGCTAACCTTTTTTAAGAGAAGAAAAGAATATTAATTTACAAGTTGCTTCATCCCTTTTGTCTCCTAGCACAGCTATATGACCAGGACCAGGACAGGAACTGAGAGCCTGGTTCAGGGGTATTCCCCTGCCCAATTGCTGCTGTAACTCGTGGATTGTATTTCGGTGTGCAGTCTGTCAGGATTTGTGGGTCCAAAAAGGGTATAGGTGGCTAATACCTAAGACTGGAATTTGTGCTCTCTGTCGTACAAAGGAACAAGAGGCTACCCAGAAAGTTATACGGATTTTGTTGGCCACTGGTCAAGAGGTCCCTGACAGCAGTAAAATATTTGAGTTGCTGGAAAACAGGGTTTTTCAGGAACCTTGAAGAAACCCGTGGAAATTCTTAGAGCTTAGTGTGGTCAGTATATTTTTGTACCAGATGAATACTAAGTGAAGCTTAAGAACTGGGATAAGATCAAAAGACATTTTGAAAAGGAAAATCCTAAACATGGGGGCAAATGAGAGCAAAGAGATTCCCAGAGGAAGCCCTTTAGGGTGTGTCTTAACACACTGGAAAGTGCTGGTGGGCTATGGTGGTAGTGAAACTAAGAGAGAACTTGTCACATTTTCAACGCAGTGGTGGCCACTCTATAAACTTGATGGGGGAGTGAAATGGCCAGCAAATGGTACATTAGACTATGAGACTTTATTACAGTTGATGCTTTTCCTTAGGCATGAACAGAAGTGGCAAGAGGTGACTTATGCTGATATGTTTCTCAGTTTTTGAAATCACCCTGAGTAGCAAAGGGCTTGTGGGATTAGGGCACAATCTGATCCACTGGTAGTGGCTCTTGAAAAAGATAATAAAGCTAACAGGGAAAAGCTCAAACGGTGTTGTAGCACATGTTCAATAAATCAAAGATGCTCGCACCCAAGTAAAGTGCATCCAACAGAGATCTTAGAACAAGAGACAGTAGAGGCACTTTTACCACCCCCTAGAAACCAGGAAGGAAGTGGGGTAGAGGGGTGGGTAGGGGAACAAGTGAAATCAGAACCCTCACCAACTTCAGCCTCCCCTAACTTATCGTCTGGTTCATCTGGGAAAAACAGTAATTGAGGTAGGGGTTTCCCCACCAACTCCTAAATCAAGGGAACCCCCGAGGCTTTACCCACCGTTGCCTAGTAGCGATAATGAATGGGATGAATCTGAACCAGTCCCAGGCCTTCCCCACAAGGTCCGATAGCGTCAAGGACCAGAAGGCAAACCAGAATGAACCCACCCCCACAAACAACTAGAAAGCAAACTAAAAGAGTCATACAGGCACCCTTAAGGCAGGCTATAGCCTCTGACGAGGAATCAAGGATAATTAAGGTCCCCTTTTTCTCAATGGCTTTGGAAGCTTGGGAAAAGACTGCTAAGGGTTATTGGAATGACCCGATAGGAGTTGCCAAAAGGTTAAAGTCTATGGTTAAGCAACATTTACCTGACTGGGCAGACATGCAGTTAGTACTTGATGCCTTAACAGAAACAGAGAAGCAGTTGGTTTTAAAGGTATCCAAGGACTTAGCTGAAGATGCTTGTGTATCAACACAAGAGGATATTAAAGATGTCTTTCCTTTTCAGGATCTGATGTGGGATCCCAATGAACCAAATGAACTAGCACAGCTTAAAAGATACCAAGACTTTGTAGTGAAAGGACTAGAAGGAGCAATTCCTAAGAACATAAGTTGGTCAGCCTTATATGCTGTTAAACAAGGTCCCTCTCAAACACCTTCTGAATTTTTAGATCACCTGCGGGACACGATATACCACCCTGGACTCTGGATCGGAGGAAGGAATACAACAACTAATAAATTTATTTTTAGGACAATCCACAGGAGATACCAGGCCGAAACTTCAGAAGATCCGGGACCCAAACAGCCGAGACTTGGAGACTCTATTGGATGAAGCATGGAGTCTTTAGGAATCAGGAGGAAGGATATAAACAAGGGATGAAGAAATTAGTAGCCGTAGTAAGGGAGGAAGGAAAGGAGAAATGTGAGCAAGACCCACCAAGACAAAGTCCACCCCGACTGGGAAAAGATCAATGTGCATTTTGCAGGAAATTTGGACACTGGAAGAATCAGTGCCCAGAACAAAGAAGGGGTGATGAACAGAGAAAAAGCGATCGGGTGGGAGACAGGGTGGTTGCTCACACGAAGGAGGACTGAGGAGGACCGGAGGGCCCTACCCTAGGGGACCCTCTAGTTATAGTTAAACTGGGGAATAAAGAAAAGGAAGTGGAATTTTTAGTAGACACAGGGGCAACATTTTCAGTGTTGAATAAGGCCCTAATACCTCTAACAAATGATTATATTATGGTAAAGGGGGCTACTGGTCAATCTGAAAGAGAATATTTTTGCAAACCATTAAAATATAAATTGGGAAAACAATGGGGGATTCACTGATTTTTATATATGCCTAATGCTCCATCTGCACTTTCGGGCAGAGATCTGCTAGAGCAGCTGGATGCAAAAATAATATTTAAAAATTGAGAAATTAGCTTGGAGGTAAAGGATCAACAATATGTGGAATTGTTAAGCCTAATGCTAATAACCAAGGAAATTGAAACTGTAAGTAAAGAAGAGAAAAACTTCAAGAAAATAATCAAGAAGCCCTGGGGTATGGGCTTCTAATATACCAGGGAGAGCAAAGAATGCATTACCTATACAAATCAAGCTCAAGGAAGGGGAAAGAGTGGTAAGGGTTAAACAATACCCCCTGAAGAAAGAAGACAGAGAAGGGATTAGCCCAATTATAGAAAACTTTTTGCAAATAGGACTGCTAAAAGAGTGTCAATCTGATTTTAATACTCCCATTTTGCCAGTAAAGACGCCTGATGGGTCATACAGGTTAGTACAAGATCAGTTAACAGAGTAACTGAAGACTTGTATCCAGTAGTTGCTAACCCTTATACCTTGTTAACTCGTTTAACACCTGAACTAACATGGTTTACCGCTTTAGATTTGAAGGATGCTTTCTTTTACCTCCCTCTCCATGAAGCCAGGCAGAAAAATTTTGCATTTGAATGGGAGAACCCCAAAACTAGACGGAAGAACCAGCTCACATGGTGTGTATTACCACAGGGATACAAGAACTCCCCCATTATATTTGGGGAGCAGCTTGCCAGAGATTTAGAATCTTGGGAACCTCCACCAGGAGAAGGACAGTTGCTCCAGTACGTGGATTATTTCCTGATAGCCACCCAGACCCAGGAAACATGCGTGGACTGGACAGTAAGCCTCCTAAATTTTTTGGGCCTGCAGGGGTATTGAGTATCCCAGAAGAAAGCCCAGATGGTGAGGCAAACAGTCATTTACCTGGGTTATGAAGTGAGTGCTGGACAAAGGACCTTGGGCCAGGTTCACAAAGAAGCAATATGTCAGACCTTGAGGCCTCAGGCAGGGAAAGAACTGAGAACATTTTTAGGCATGACAGGGTGGTGCAGACTATGGATTTATAACTATGGGTTACTTGTTAAGCCTCTATATGCCCTGATTACGGGAGGGAGCAGAGATCTCCAGTGGAGAAAAGAAGCAACCCAAGCCTTCAACCAACTAAAGAAAGCCCTCACGTCAGCTCCAGCTTTAGGACTTCCAGACATGAGGAAACCATTATTCCTTTTTTCCCATGAAAAATAAGGGATCACCTTGGGAATATCAGCACAGAACTCAGGCCCCTACCGGAAAGCAGTGGCTTATCTCTCCAAACAGCTAGACACAGCAGCTAAAGGATGGCCAGGGTGTCTCAGAGCCGTTGCAGCAGTGGCAGTGAACATCCAGGAAGTGCGCAAATTTACCCTGGGCCAGAAGATGACTGTGCTGGTATCCCACACAGTTGCTCTCATGAAGTTAAGGGCTCTTTTATCTTGATGGATATGAGGTGAATTCCTATCACCCAAAAAGATACATATTTAAATATTAGATCCACTTTATTCACAAAAATTAGGTAAAACCCCCAAAGTATAACACAACCAAAAGGTCTTAAAATAAGGACAGGTAATGGAAATAATTTATTTCTTTCTGTTTGTGTCTTTGAATATTCATGAAAACAACTCCAGGCTTCTGCTCACGTTTCATTTATAAAAGCCAATAGTTGTGTTTTTCTATGACCCTTTACTGGGTCAGGGAATTGTAACATAATCAGTATTCTGGTCAGAATGCATGGATTTTTGTGCCACAGTACTTGCCAAAAAATTCCCAGGTATGACACTCGCAGCAACCTTGAGACAAAACAGGAATACTGATTTCAGCAGTTCACCTACGTAGCATCAATGGATCCACTTCAAGAGCTTTTTCCCTGAAAACAAAGCAACTTACATAAGTGAAAACCATAAGAAAACTGACATGTAAGTTCCCATAGAAATAGGAGCCTAGATTGAATTAACTGATAAACTGGTCCTTACATGCTCATTAGAAGAACATTTTCTGGCATTTTTTACATCAGTCCACTCTGTTTCCACAGATTCTCTTAGCCCTTTTATGTTTTAGATTTTTAATTTCTCCTTCAATCATAAGTGTATTTATTGCACATAGATGTCGTGGTCAGCTCTTCTCGCCGCGATACCCCGAGCGGTGGCATGCTGGGCGGCAAGAGGGAAGAGAACGGGCGGTCACTCCCCCTGTGAAGCTCTGCAGTCCCAGTTGTCAGCACGGGGACGGACGGAGGCAACACGGGACTTGGGGATGAACAGGATGGTTTTATTCAGTGAGCCCCAAGACCCTCTGGGGAGGGCGAACAAAGGTTTTATAGAGGAACTCAGGAGGAGGGGAGTAGGAACAACAACCAATGAGGGTAGAGCAGGGGAGGAGTCTAAGGAGGGACTAACACATCACAAACCTATCAGGGGAAACAGGGGAATGGAATAACACAAAGTGTTGCCTTTATGAGAGACAACGGCGACCTGGTTACAAGAAGACAGCACGGCAGCCCGGCCTCACCCGGGCTACTCGGACTAACGACACACGCTGACACCAATGTGGTGGACGGTCGAAAGCCTTTATTATCTTATCTCATGGGTTTAAATAGTCTTGGGGGACTTTGCTTCGTCAGAGGGGGGCTGGGGGTCTCAGGGGATAGTGGGTAGTGGAATTTTACTTGGGCCGGTGTGGCTGCATTCCTCTGAGGCTTCTGGAGTTAATAGATAAGTGGGGAAGAGAGGCAGAGAGGGGGATGGGTCTATCTTTCCGTCACACCCCGAAATCTTCCGTTCGCCTGTCCCTTACCTACCACATCTCCCCCCTCCTTATCACATACAAAATGAGGTAGTCGTAGGTAGAGGCACTGGAGTGAGGTACAATCTTGCAACTTGTTAAGGAAAGGGTGGTTTAGTAGATTTGGGTAGATTTTTTAAGGCAGGTGCTGAAGGCTTTAGCTACTGACTGTGTTTGCAGTTTTTGGTTTATAGCATTTGTTGGTGGCCTATGAACAGAATGTTTGCCCTTTCCAGACGGGCTTGAACAAACGAGACTAGTTTGTTCAGCAGGCATGGTCCTATGGTAATAGCCAAAAGCAGTATTGCCAGTGGACCTACCAGGGCAGAAATTAAAGTGGTGAGCCAAGGTGATTGATTGAACCAGGATTCAAACCAGCTCTGCTGGGTCTCCCTGTCTCTCTTTCTCTGAGCCAGTCTGTCTCGGAGTTCTGCCATGGAGTCTTTAACGACTCCTGTATGATCTGCATAAAAGCAGCATTCCTCCTTCAACGCTGCACACAATCCCCCCTGCTGCATAAACAAAAGGTCCAGTCCTCGCCTATTTTGTAAAACTACTTCTGAAAGCGAAGAGACTGATTTCTCTAGGTAGGAGATGGATTTCTCGATCCTCTGCAGGTCTTCGTCGATGGTCATTTGCAGCTGAGAGAGTCCGTGTTGCTGGGTTGCGATGGCTGAGACGCCCGTGGCGGTGCCAGCTGCTCCCAGGCCGAGCAGCATCGCGATAGTTATACCTGTGATGATTTCCCTTTTGTGGAGTCTGTTAGGTTCTTCGAGAAGATGGTATATCTCTTCGTCTGAGTGGTACAAGACCCTGGGGACAATCAGAACTTGGACACAGAAATCAGTAGAGTCATTGAATTTGTCAAGGAACACACAAGGACTCACTCCGGACCTTTGGCAGACCCACATCCCAGACGCAGATGGGATCACCCACTTGCTAGTTTTTCTGTTAGGTTTGACAACTTTAGTGCAGAAGTTGCCTTTCTGCTTTGCTAAGGTTGCATTCCCAAAACATCTGCCCTGTCCTGTGATTTGACTCAGGGTGATTCCTCTGCGGGGAGTGTCCCATCTGCACTGGTGGGGGGCGCTGGCCGAGGAGTAACTGAAGGGGGTGTCCAAAGCAATGCCTTCATAAAAAGGGGGTTTGATATCATAGCAAAGCCAACAGGAGTTAGTTAGGTTCGGTTTGGTTTCGTTTAGGGTTAAAAAGGTAGCTTCTAGCATACGAAAGATTGGGTTTGGGTCTGACTCAGCCATGCGGCCTATCTGGGGGGTATCTGCAAGGCTGGTCGGGGTGTCAGTGGCTTTTGGGGTCAGGGTTTTGAGGTGGGTTGTGTTTTTCCCTCTCAGCACATTCCTGATAATTTTGTTGGGTCCCACTGGTCGAGGCGTTGGCGGCTGGAGCCTGATAATTCTCACATTCACCCACCTCCTCGGTCCTTTGAGGACCACCGTCCATGTTCTACCTGTGGCCCAGCTAGGGTGATCTGGCTGTAGGACAGTCATGTTATAACTTACGCATGCCCGTTGTCTAGGCTGTGCAGTGTGGTCTCCGCAGCCAAAGGGTGCCCAGGTGAACTGTAAGAATTTGTCGGGCTCCTGTGGTTGCCACCCGTCTGCCCATGGTCTGGCATCTGTAACAATGGTTTCGCAGCCCCAATACCCACAATGTCCCCACCCCGGGTAGTCACAGTACCTTTTCCCTGGGTTGGACGCTGGGCACCAATAAGATATGTACATGAGTATGATGTGTGGGCTTGAGGGCCGTATTTTCGGTTGCCCTGGAAACAGATCGGCTATGTGGAATACGAAGGATGGAGCGTTTGCGGTGGTGACCTCTTTGAACACCTTGTCGCTTGAGAGATGTTGCATGACCCATCTGAACGGCTGGTGAGGGTAGTGGCCTGGGTCGGCTTGCCCCCCGGCCACAAACCCCATCAGCAGGATTGCACAGAGACACTGTACATGTCTGGGTCTCACCGCCGTGGGACGCTCAGGCTCTGTCTGGTGGCTTGGTGGTCCGTTATCTCTCTCTGGAGCAGGGGTGTGTGTGTCGCAGGGACGGTCCATGAACGTGTCCTGCGAACGAAAACTCACAGTTTTCCATTAGTTTCATTCTTAAGGTCAGGTTTGATCGACCTGAGTGGACACCACCTGATCTTGCCCTCCTTTTTAACTGCCGCGTACCCCCGTCCCGTAAGCACCAGTCTCCAGCCCCGTTCCCACTCGCCTAGCTCGTTTTTGACCATGACCTGTGGGCCCTCCTCTAGTGTCTGGGTGGCCCAGTGCTTTCGAATGGGGCTGTTTGCTTCATCTCCCCTAGGAAATTGGTTCAGTGCTAGCAGCGTGGTTGCTAGCATGCGTGTCTGGTCTCCTGAGGGGATGGAATTGGCAAAGCCCTCTGCCTTTGCCAATACTTCTAACTTGGCTTTTAGGGTCTGATTTGCTCGCTCGACAATGGCCTGTCCGGTGCTGTTATATGGGATTCCCTGCGCCAAGGTGATACCCCACACCGAGGCGAATTCCTGCACTGATTTGGAGATAAAATTGGAAGCATTGTCAGTTTTAATTTGCTTGGGGATACCAAGCCATGCCATAACTGTCAGCCAGTGCTGGATCGTGGCCTTCGAGTTGGGTTTGAGATGCTGCGTCGCTATGATCACTCCGCTGTAGGTGTCCACTGTCACTGCAAGCCATGCTCGGGGCTTTAGCAGTTCGCAGAGGGTGAAGTCTGACTGCCAGATTTCTGAGGCCTTGAGACCTCTCGGGTTGACCCCACCGGTCCATAGGGGTGACTTCTGGCAGTGAGGGCAGGTGGCCACTACGTGTCTCGCGTCTGCTGTCGAGATCCCGCATCTCTTCGCCAGTGCTTTGGCCCCTATGTGGAGTGACTCGTGCAGCTGACGAGCTTCCTGCAGTGTCCACACTCCCTTCGCTGCGGCATCTGCTTTGTCGTTGCCAGTCTGGAAGAAGCCCTTGACTGGGTTATGGCTGTTGACGTGGATGACGGACACGGTGCCCTGGCGTGAGGAGAGTGCCTCTTCAAGCATGGAGGCCATCGTGGATGTTGACACACCTGGTCTTGACATGGCTAGGCAGAGCTTTGCCACGAATATAGAGTCTGTCACGATGTTGAGATGTTCGTCCTGGAAAAGTCCGCACGCCAAGACCACTGCTGCTGCTTCCAGCTGTTGCACTGACAGCGTGGGGTCACACGTTTTGATGCAATGCCATGTTTCTCCTGCCTGCCACACCGCTGCTGCGGTAGAAGTCATGGAGGAGGCGTCTGTAAAGACTGTTGGTCCTGGTTGCGGTCGGTCCATGACCTTCGGTGGCACATCTATGTCGACGATGGTCAGTAGCTGGGTCCAGGGTGGTTTGGTGGCGTAGGAAATTTCTCCTCCGAAGCCAGTGAGAGCGAGGGCCAGGTGCTCCGATATTGCAGTTGACTCCGTGGTCGGTCGCTTGCGGAAGGGGAGGTGGATCCTTGCCGGCTCGGTTCCCAGGTGTCTCAGGGCGAGTCTCCTGCCTTTCGTGATGAGGTTAGCAATGCACTCAACTCCTGGGGAGAATGCGTGAGTTGGTCTTCCGAGGACCACCCATTGGATCGGCTGGGATTTTTCGGAAGGTCCTTGGGCAAGTGCTCCCACTCCTCCCTTCTGCGTGAAGTGGACGTATAAGTCCAGTGGTACGCTCGGGTTCCACCTGGCAAGCAGGCTAGTGGACATCTGACGTTCGATGAAGTCGAGGGATTCCGTTGCTTGCGGCGTCAGCTCCTTGGGGTCCCACGGGTGTTTTCCTTTCAGGAGGTCATACAGGGGGTCCATGACCTCTGGGGGAACTAGGATGATGTTGCGGAGGCACTGCAGAGATCCCACGAGTCGCTGCATGTCGTGGAGGGTCTTGATGTCTCGGCGGACTTTTATCTTGGGTGGGGTCACGTAGGAGTTTGTGATCCCCACTCCCAGGAAGGTCACGCACGGTCCTCTCTTGATCTTCGTGTTCGCGATCTCGAAGCCGTTGGCCTGGAGGGTTTCCGTGATCGTGGACACTAGGTGATGCACTTGGCCTGCCGATGGTGCGGCGACGAGGATGTCGTCCATGTACTGAATGATGGTCGCAGCAGGGTGGGAGTGTCGGACTGGCATCAGTGCCCTGTCCACGGTGATCTGGCATATGGTCGGGCTGTCCACAAGGCCTTGAGGTAGCACTTTCCATTGGAAGCGGAGGTTAGGTCGCTCGCCGTTCGGGAACACGATGGAGAAGGCGAACCATTCTTTGTCCTCAGCATGCAGGGGTATTGAAAAGAAACAGTCTTTGATGTCCAGCACTGCGCACGGCTGCCCTTTGGGGATGGCTGAGTTCGCGGGCAGTAGTGTCTGAACTGGACCCATGGGCTGAATTGTCTTGTTCACTTCCCTCAGGTCGTGGACGAGGCGGTAGCCTTCTCCTGATCTCTTGGGGATTACAAACACAGGGGTGTTCCACGGGCTGGTGGAGGGTTCGATGTGGCCCTTTTGTAGCTCGCGGGCGACCAGTTCCAGCAAGGCTGTCATTCGAGGCTTTGACAGGGGCCACTGCTCAACCCATACGGGGTCTGGTGATTTCCAAGTCAGTTTGATTGGTAGCAGTGGGTGCACAGCAGTGGCC